CTCGATCCCGAGAAGGGGGAGAGATTTGGCAGCCCCGAGTGCTTCAGAGGCCTCAGCGATGAGTCTGGGTGACGCCCACGCTGCCCAAAATCGTCGGGCATCTCTTCCTTTTTGGCGAGCTGTTTGGCGATTTTCGCTCCAGAAATCGTTTGCGGTCCAAGGGAAGACGGCCTGATCGCCACACTCATTGCTTGTCCAGATCCAACCATCGGAGATGACGTCGACGTCGTGGCCGTTCGTCTCTTCCCGCTGCCTCTTCTGTCGCAAGATGGCCTCTGCTATCGCCACGTCCAGCTGGGGTTCGCTGCTGATGCCCATGACTTTTCGGGGTTCGTCAACATCTCGGTCTACATATCCCCTGTCTTCACCGGCGTCTGCCAGCGGCAGTTGGGGCTTGTTCCGTCGACGAGGTCATTCAGATGAGCGACCTGGACGAGCTATCGCGTGCAGGGGTCCTGCAGAACGTCACCATGGTGCGCTTGGTGCTCAACCCCAACAAGATGCGCGGGACGACGGACGGACGGCGTCACGGCTCTCCACTTGGCGGCATCGCGAGGCAGCCTCGATGTCAGATCACCAACTATCGCCCTTGTGCGTGGCCGTCATGGTCAGCGACGGCGCTATGGCCGCACTGCTCTCGAGAGCTGGCGCTGACGCGGAGCTGCCGTGCCTGAATGACGAGGAAGGCTGAGAGGATTCGAGTAAGGATGTCCTCTACATCAAGGCACCGCTCCTCATTGCAGCAAAGTACGGCAAGCACAAGGCCATCGAGGCGCTATAGCATGAAGCCAATGTGAAAGCTACCGACCCACGAGGCTTCACGGCCCTCACTTTGCCGCCATACAGAAGGACTTCTTTCACACTCGTCTGCTGAGGACTCGTCGGCAGTATGCAGCGGTCGCCTCTCTCCTTCTCTGTCACGGCTTCCCTATGCTTGACGCGACTCAGCAGAACGGCTGGTCTGCCTTCGATCTCGCTTGTCGGGGCTCTTTACGACCGCGGGCCCGACAGATGATCGATATCGGCGTGGCCGGCGGCCGTTATGGTCCCCTGCTCAAGCTCCCGGTTTCTTTCTTCAAGCAATCGCTCCTCGGGCTGGGTTGCATCAAGCTGTGGGAGGCCGGGCATGGTGGTCGGCAGAGCGTCGCTGAGACGATGCGTCGCGCCATAGTCAGTGGTCGGGGAGATACGTTTGTGGCCGTCAACGCATCCGCATGGCCACGAAGCATCCTCATGGAGATTGACTTGCACCCCTTCTCAACAGAGAAATCCTACCGCTATCAAGCCAGATGTGGAGCCTACAGCCATGGAGGTCATCAACACTCTGAGTGTCGTAGAAGGTGGCTCGCCTGAAGGGTCGCTCGTCAGGCGGTGGCTCTTTGTTGCGATCCTGTGCGATGTATGTGGCTGTGTGGCCGTCGGGGTGTGGTTGCCTGAGCCGTGGCCAAAGACAGCCGACTCGACGGCTCAGCAGCGGCACCGTAGGCGCCAGACGGGGCGGCGAGGGCGATGCGCGGCCAGGAGAGGCGCCGTCCCACCCCAGGCGGACGAGCAGAAGTCGGCGAGAGCTATTGCTCAGCTCAAGAGGGACCTTCAGGGGGCCATAGAGGAGAAAGACAGGTAGGGCACAGACATGGACACGCACCGACAAACCCGCAATTGCCGTGGCTGTGCGTCAGGTTGGAGCTGGGCATTGCGGCGTTGCGGACCAATTGCGACAAGATGACAGCATCCCTGCGGCCTCTCGAGCCAGTGGCACGACGAGCTGCTCCAGGAGGCGGCCAAAGGGTACGCATGAGTGCAGCTCAGACAGACAGATGGATGGATGCATGGGCGTATGATCATTGGCCTCCCAGGTTGACAAGGGAGCGTTTGGGTGCCGTCAACGACCCCAAGGCCGTCCATGAGTTCAAGCGGCAGATCAAGGAGAGGCAACAGCAGCTGCTGGCCCTCTTTGCCGTGGCCAGCATGCTGCATGCCTTGGTCGCCATCAAGTGGGGGTCCCTCCGGTACTTCGACAAGCCCCCGACGCTCGTGTGTTCCCCCTGCAAGCATCCGAGTCTCTGTGCGGCGTGCTACGAAGGACTCCTGCGCTGTCACGAGGCGGCCAAGAGAGAGAAGCAGCGGCTCGAGAGAGCCCACAGGCGGCTGCCGGACGCCGTGCGGCGTGATGCCGTCCTCAGGTACCCCTACTGCAGGGCGACAGCTGAGTCTCCACATAACGACTTAAATGCAGCTGGGGGGAGGAGGGCGGGAGTTGTACAGTCCTGGTTTTAAGAAAGGTCGACTGCCTGTCTGTTCTGACCGTTCTTGCTGCTTGCATAACTGCGTCAGCTGCGCAGGGTAGCAGCCATTAGCCTCCATTCTGGGGGACAGTGTGTGCCGTGTGTGGTTTAGGTCCCGTGCTGTCTGATTTATGCCGATTGTGGTGTGTCTGTATCTGTGTGCGTGTGATGATGGATGGACTGCAGGATGATGTCGACGTGTCCATTTCAAGTTCGTCTGTGCAGCGACCCACGCAGAGCCACCCAAACTAGCCCCAGTCTTGATATGTTGGCTGATGCCGACGTCAGCATCAGGCAGCCCTCGTCCGTCAATCTGTACAGCTACCTGGTCACTCGTCCACACACACACACACACACATACTCCGTCACCCACACACACATCGCAGCTATGCTATGCACCCCATAAGTGTCGTCAGCTAAGAGAATGGCCCCGCTGCCCCTCTGCTATGAATGATCCACCACACACAACAGCCGGCCTGACAGACACCACCATCAACACACACGCACACACAGAGAGAAAACGAGCAGACACGAACGTGGTCATATCTGATCACGAATGAGTGCCATTTCCCCACCTTCAGGCGTTGCGAACTTCAGTCACGACGGTGAAGTCTGGCCCACGGTGCTCGTGTCTGATTGTGAAGCCCTCGATGACATTGTTGGCGCCGTCAGGGAGGGAGGCCTCGATGGAAGCATGCTGCTCAGCTGTCGTGTCGTCGACCGTCAGCCCCACACGCCGCAGGCCCCTGATGTGCGGGATCGCCGACGAGAGGCTGGTGCGGACGAAGATGCCGGCATCCTGTACACCATCGGGCACTGAAGGGGAGGGAACACACAGACAAGGCAGCAATGAGGATGGACGGGCACACTTCTCTCAGCGTACGGGTCAGCTCGAAGTCTAGTTCCCTGATCGTCGGCAACTCGTTGGCCGCCCCCACCAGCTGGGCGACGCCGATGTCCCCCACCGACACCGTACCCACCTCCCTGTCCCTCCCCAGATCCGTCAACACGCCCACCTTCTCCTCGGCACCCGACACCCTTCGAATGTCCACCCTCCCCACCTTCTTGGGCATCTTGCTGGTGAACAGCCGGGCGGCTGCACCACCCAGCCTGCTCCGGACGTCCAGCTCTGAGGCTTCGGGGAACGGCTTGAGATGGCTGATGATGGCGGGGTGGGGCGGTGGGGTGTTGGCGGGGGGGTGGAAGCCAGGGGCCCTCTCGACCTCTACGTGCGTGGCCTTGTCAAATGAGAGGCTGGATGCGATATCGATGGCTGACGGGCTGGGGTCGCTGTGCGGGTCGGTGATGCCGTCCTGAGTGAAGACGTAGTACACACCCGTGGCCTGCTCTGCCAGCTGCTGTATCATGCTCTTGAGTGAGGGTGAGGGGTGGGTGGCGAACACGTCGTGGTAGAAGATGGAGAGGTCGAAGCGGAAACCGGTCAGGTTGGTGACCGTGAGTGGGGCGTTTGGCAGGCAGCACGCGCCGACCATTCGGTCCAGGGCCAGCAGCACCGGCAATGTCGGGCGGCTGATGCTGGCATCGTGACCGGCCGCTGCAGCATAATCCACACTCCTGTCCACGTGCAGCTCCTTGAGTGACCGTCGGCAGCCACGCGCAACGAGCACTTTCTGCAAACAAGAACACACACACATGCAGGAAGGACATCATGAGCCAATCCACGGGCGCTGCTGGTCTGCCCTTTGTGGTCACCTCAAGCCGATCTATGCCCGCCGGATTGTCCTCTCTCACCACGATGGTGCCGATGCTCTCCAGCTGAGCGAGTGGCCCTCCCTGCTGCCCAACAGGTGTCGCAGGGATGCGCTCGAACACATCCGCCCACTCCTCATCCGCAAAGCGACCGTCCACACACCGCAGTGAGCGGGACGAGCTGATGAACTGGCCCAATCTGTCAGCGTCCCAATTGCGTTGCTTCGCGGTGGCGAGTGAGGGCATCCGCCAGCTCCGGTTGGCCAGACCATCATGCCAGAGGGTCAGGCCGGTAATGGTGGTGAGTGCGTCGAGGGTCGGGGGCGGGTCGAGAGGAGCGGGGAGGCGCGGATGAGTCCTCGAGAGTCTCGCCGTGCCGGTCAGCCGAACACCTTGGATGGTGATGGTCTGCAGGGTCCCTTCGGTGAGGTTGGCTGCCCGTCGGCCGGCAATGTCAATGATGGCCACAAAGACGTCGAAACACCACGTGAAACGGCTGGGACCGAGAGGGTACCGGAGGGTGATTGACGTGAGGCGGGTGAGTCGTGCGGCCAGCTGGGTGACGAAGGCGAGATGGACGTGCTGCCAAAACAACCGCTCCTCCTTGGACGACCGCTCCTCCTTGGTGGCTGAGCTGATGGTGACGTCCGAGAGGTGGGGTGCGGCGTGCGGCCAGATGGACCTGGCCAGCTGCACCATCAGATTGATGGGCAAGAAGGCCATCATGTAGCTGAGAAGGCCCTCCTGAAGCACAGCCACACAGCACACGGGACGGCAAGAGATTTCCATCAGTATACGCATTCCCTCAGTGGGTCGGTGCCACACTCACCGTGTCAGTGATTTGTTGCCGAAGGTTCTGCTCCCTCTCCTCTCGTCGCTGCCGCTCCTCGTCACTCTCAACACCACCACAACCACCACCACCAGCCGCACCACGAGCACCGCCACGAGTCCTCTTGACCTGCACCCATACACCAAACACAGACAGCCAACATCCGTCTGGTGAAATGCGCCATTCATTGCCAGCGGTGCTGTGATGCGCCTCGCCTGTCTATCGTCCTCCATGGTTGGCTGTTGTAGATCTGACTCAGCGGCTGGGCTCTCCGCTGCGATGAGAACTCCAAGACCTTCTCTGAGGCCGCTAATTAACCAATGCTCACATCTATGACGTCCCTCCCTGACGCACAAACACACACAGCACATGAGGGCAGCACCGATGGCGAATTCGCCCTCTCTCTGCCCCTTCTGGCGTACCTCAGGACGACGTGATGTCAGTCTGTCAGTCCAAGGAGCGGTAAGAGGGCTCGGCCGCCCCTCGATGCTGCGCAGCGCAAGGGTGCCTGCGTTGCAACGGAGGATGCATCAATCAGCACCTTGCTCAGCACATTGAATGAGTGGCGCCATCTCACCTGCAGCTCAGCTGATACGCCCCGTCGGTGGTTAGTTAGCTACGCTCTCCGCCAGTCAGCCGACCTCGTGTGGTCTGGGCGTGTCTATTGGCCTTCCTCCAAGAAAGGCAATGCGAGCTCAAATGCAGAGTTCAATTCGC